GTTATGTGGATCTTTAGCTGCTACGCGAGGGAGCCTACGACGCAACTGACACTTCGCCAGTTGGAAACTGCATTTCCACTACTTACTTCGGTGGATGTACAAGACCGTCGCCGTGTTGTGAGTGGGGCTTTGACCCGTTTTGCAGGAGGGTTGCTCTCATTTTACGACGACCGCGTTATTGCATTGAAACATGTCCCCGTCCATGCATTCTCTTTGCTCTCTTTGGAGGAGTTTAGAATGGTGACATCAATGGAGCAGGCATCTGTTGTTTTTCTGTTCAAGTGTCAAATGCGACATGAAGAGGTTTTAGAGGCGTTGCAGACCGTGTTAGATGCCTGGGGAAAACGTGGTGCTGCGTTAGCATCATCATTTATGCGATTGGCTGTTGCGGTGATTCTTTCACATGCAATTGGTACATGTGCTTTGTTGCCCCAAGATCTGAGAGGCTCGGTACGCCCCTTTGTTCTTCGCTACTTGCCAACACTACTGGTCCTTCACGGGGAGGAGCCTATTCTTGGGAGGCTTGCCGCTTTGCTGCGGCAGCCAAAAACTAATAAAAGGTCCACCCCGATTTCAGTACGACGGAGAATGGAAGAGATCACACGGGCCGAACCGATAGTTGTCGAGCCATCTGCCACGTGTGCGGAGAACGATGCCCGATCGGAGATGGAAGGGGGGTACTTTTTTGAATCCGTTGCACCTCTTCCGCAGTTGGACTCCGAGGTGGCCTGGAAGATTGCAAAATGTACATGCCGTCACACGATTGTCTCTTTTCCAAAGAAGCATGTCTTAAGAAACAACGCGGTTGGTGGCTCGGATCCGGACTGTCTATTCTCCGCTCTTTTGTTTTCATGTGCACGTCTGCACTTGTCGTGGCCGTTGCTTAAGTCTTTTGGTGACGAGGAGTTGTGCTTGAGTTTGAACCTTGGCAAGGCCTCTCACGCAACACCGGACGAAGAATTGGTGTGGAAAACAGAGAGGAAGAGGAAACGCGGGAGGGGACGGGCGTGAAACTCCGAAGGGCAACAACAGTGTGTGTGTGTGTGTGAAACAGAAAGAAGTTTCTCGTTATTACAACGAGGGGAAGCAGAAATAATAAACCTGCAAAAAAGAAAAAGAAAAAAATGAGGGGCGCACCAATGACGGCCGAAAACACGGACGATAAAAGAAATGGAAGGGAATGGGATAAAAAAAGGCAAAGCAAAGAAAAGCGTTGGGACCCCGCTTGGATGTAAAAGTTTATCCTCATATTCTTTTGTCTTGTTTTAAAGGAGAAGGGAAGAGAAAGAGGGAGGGTTGCTGACTACTGCACTGGCGTATCACTTGCTTCAGGGAGTGCCACCTGTCTGCTGCCATACCAATTATCAAGTTTGTTGCTAGCACCATGTGTTCTTTCATGCGTGAGTAAACGCCTACGAAGAAGAGGAGGTGTACGTGACATTGTGTGAGGTTGCTTCTTTTTTTGTCCACCACACTGAGTTTTTTTAGGGTGGGCAGATACAATAATTTGTTTGTGCATTCGGCGTGTTCTAAACGATCACGCGAGGGAGCACGAAGAGTCTGGTGTCATGAGTGTCAGTGCCACGCAGGGAACTTGGCGTTTAAATTTGTAACAGAATTTAAACTTCAGTTAAGTGAACTGCGACTGCGGCGCTGCACTTCAGCGTGTACGCTGGCAATCGGTCGGTAACCGGTTGGGGTTTTCGAAGGGTGTTTAGTTGAAAAGCCGGAGATCGGGCCTTTGGTGGCACTGAACGAACTTCAGCTGGTCATTCGTGGGCGAATCAACGTGAGAATTTGTTAGTTTTGTGAGAGGCGGCGGCGGAGACGGTGGGTTTGGGTGCGCGTTTGAGGCTGAACAAAGTGAATATCTGAAAAACGAACAGACCCACCTGTGCACATATAAACAAATAAATAAATAATGGTGGCCGTCCTTCATGCCCGAATAAATATTATGACAGTTGTCTTTTTGTTGTTTATTTCATTTTCAAGATTTTTTTAGTGGATTTTTTTTTCTTTTTTTCTTTTTTGGTGCGTACGGACAAAGGAGGTGAAAAAAAAAAAAAAAAAAAAAAACGGGACAACACCTTATTAGTGTTAGCCATGAGCACAATTTCGGTGGCATCTGAAGAGTCTCTACATGATGCGCCTGTTTCTACTGACTCCACTACGGGCGCTGAGGGAGTCACGTTTGATTCTAACGAGCAAACGAATCTGGACGACATGATTGGCGTGGCGGAGCCGTTGAAGCATACGTCGACACTCACGTCAATCGTTGACCAAAAAGTCGCATTGATTCAAAAAGGCGGTGCCCCCTCTGTGCACTCTTTCCTTTACACCGTGCCTCACCTTTTCACCCTAACCGAGGAACAAATTACTGGCCTAAACGTGATGCTGCGCGAGTACAGTGAAATGGATATTATTGTCGATGAAGGAACTCTACTAACGCATGTCTTTGTGCTGGCTTCAGGCACCGTTGAGGTTATCAACACAAAAGTTGGTCGTGCGTCCATCGTTGGCCATCGCCGAGTCGGGAGTATTACTGCACCAAACATTTTTGGTATCGATAGTGTTATCTTGGAAAAACCAACGGAGTTCTCATACCACGCAAGTTCGTTAACAACGCTACTTCTTATACCAAAGCGACAATTCTGTGAGCTTTTTACTCGTTCCCCAATGTTTTCCAGTAGTGTTTCTGTTCAGATTGTACAAACTCTTTCTGCATTCGCTGTGTTTGAGGATTTTTGTCGTGCTCTTTTTGGGTTATCGTCATCATCCGTGTGTGGAAGACGCAGTTTTGGCGAAGGCGGGTATAAGTTATCCATACCCACAGCCGTGAGTATTTATGAGTCCAGTGGCACAGTCGTCCACAAATTAATGCATTCTACTGCAATTGATACCGATGCGTTGCATTACTGCGTCAAAAGACTTCCGGAGAACATCACGGAAACATTTCTTATTACTTTGTCGCGCAGCATACCTAACTACCTCTCCGATGGGGTCGCCTTTTCAACAACAATATCCCTTGAGTCAGCACGACGGCGGAGGGGCGCGTGGAAAATTGCTGAAAAAGGACAAATTATTGTCATGGCGCGGGATGGATTTACAGACATTATTGATTTTGTTACCAACCTGTGCATGTTGATTGTAGAAACGAAAAAAATAAGGTTGCGTTTGCAGCGACTTGCTTCACCACTGGCCATTGATTTTCTTCGAAATTTACTTTCCATGGATGAAGCGGCATCGAATACTGCAGTCAGGGCGGTTCTTGCCCAGTTACCGTTTTCAGAGACGGAAATTGATGGCCTGATGCAAGTTTGGAGGGATCCGCAATTATCAATGTGTTGTACACATTTTTATTACACCGTGAGGAGTTTGTTGTGCACGTTGACGTAAACTGTCGAAAGAAGTTCTCTCAAGATCCTTATCAAAAGTGGGGTCTTTGCATCAATCGGCACATCAGGGCGGAGCTTGGCATTGGTGGCGAAGAGGCACTCCCATCGGATTTGACGATTGATATCATTTTTTCATCTAACATTACTATTAAGAGTCTTTTGTGCTCTGCCCCTGAGGAGTTCAGGTTGTTGCTGGAGAAATATATTGAGTCCCAGGCATCGACCACCATGTTGAAGAACCCGGATGATTATTATCTTTATGTATTAGCACAGGTTTTGGAGGAGGAGGACTCCATGAGGGAGGCGTATCGTCAGCACTTAGAGGAAGCAGGCTTTATCATGATGGAGGATTCATTTATGTCGGGACTTGTCGTCGATCTTATTAATATTGGTAAATTGCCTATTTCAGGTATAAATGCCTCATTGCGTCATGCAGCGAAAAATAGGCAACGCATGCAGGGAAATAGCTTTATTATCAACGTTGATAGGACGTTTGGTGCACAGGTTGAGACCATTTTACGAACTCTTGTTCTTATTTTTGGCGATTATATTCGCAGTGTTAATCTCACTGGTGGTGTGGCCGGCGTTGTCGGGAGTCGTGGCGATGTTGTTCTGCCCACTCGACTGCTTTTCTCAAAACAATCTTTTGGAGAGGACTCTACCGATGAAACACGCGTGTGCAACACAGACGGTATCCATGAAAAAGATGTAATTCCCTTTTTGGGAGAAGGCAACGTGGCTCTTCACAGGGGTGTGTGCGTCACGATTCCTGGCGTTTTTCTGTATAGTGACTCCGTATTGCGGTTATATAAGGTGGTTCATGGATGCACTTGTGTGGACATGAGGAGCAGTTACGTGGCGCGGCAAGTTGAGGAGAGCCACCGCGCAGGGGTACTAAAAAGGGGAGTAAAGAGAAGATTTTTGTTTTATGTGGACACGGTGCCCCTTAACAACGATGGGGACTCCGAGTCTTACACGCAGAAGAGCGACGTACTGTTTTCTATTTACGCAACCGCCCGTTCCCTATTGAATTTGATTCTTTTTTCCTGAAAGGTATCGTGCCGTATATATATATATATATTTTTTTTAATTTCTTGCAACTTTCATTAACGATGAACCACACGGAGTTATCGTTGTTGGAAGGGAGGGGAGGAAGGAGCTTTCCTTACTTTTTGTCTGTTAATTTTCTTTTTTTGTTTATTTTATTATCCTCCGTTGTCTGGTTTGTTTATTTCTTTTATTTATTCGCTTGTATTTTTATTTTGTTATTATTATTTTCTCGCATACTCAAATGTAATTTGATTTGAAGAGATGAGTTGGAGGGAAAAGGGGCGGCCGTTTCTGCGGAGTCCTTTTCTTTTGGACACAAGAGAATTTATCACAGACAAGTGCATCCTTCGACAGTTGACGCACTTTGCTCATGTCCATCGCCTTGGAAGTCCACTGTGGCTTGGCTGGGAATTGGCGGCAGGTCTTGGGCTTACTCTGAGGTACATGCAGAGCCCTTTAAACATTTGGTCTCCCCTGATGGGCGAGAGCTTCTTTCCTCTCAATAAGGCATCTACTTTTTCGGATGCCGTCATGCAAAAATATCCGTTAAGACAGTTTCTGCATTTTTCAAAGATATCATCAGCAGAGCATCTCACTACGAAACAGAATTTGGTTTTGTCAGCGGCAGCAAGTTCTGACGGGAACCCGAGGTGGTACAGGGTCCCGGAAGCCATCGAACATTTTTTTGAATTGCCGTCGGAATCTTCGTCTTTATATTGCCATCCAATACAACAGGTTAATGAGGTTGGTTTATTTGTGTTGTGGATTTCCGCCGTGCTTTTTTCTCGAATGATGATTGCTCCTGAAGCAAAACTGTTGGTCCAGACCCCATCCAGTTACATGTCTGTTGTGAATGCTGACCAATTATATCCAAGCAGCTTTTTGGCTGAAAAGGAGCTTGAGTGCCTTGTATTGCAGTCGTAATATGAATTATTGGCAATACGTAATAGTCTTTTTTTTTTTCTTTTTCTTTTGGCTGGGGTATGGAGGTGGTGTAAGTAAACATATACACAGATAAATGGATGAGGCACGTTGAAGAGGTCATTATTATTATTATTGTTATTATTTAATTTACTGTTGATTTGAAGCTCACTTATATGCGGAAATTTACTGATTGCATATTTTTTCTTTTTCTATTTCTTGAAAATTTACTTTTAAAGCGCGAATTTTGCTTTAGTTTTTTTTCCTTGTGTGTGTGTGTGTGTGTGACCTCTTTTTGTCATCCTGTTTGGGCGTGGGTGCTTGGCGATGTCTTGGGCCGTCATCAGGAGACCCGTGAAGGTATGTGCCACAGTGGCCGCGGCAACCGCGTTCTCTTGGTTGTATTCTTGTCGCCCGGTGGTTGTGACACAGGAAGCACCAACGATTGCTCTGGACAGCAACGTTGGCTCTGCAGTGGAGCCGCTTTGGGATTACATGTCTTTTTTGGACGCACACACCGGAGAATGGAAAGTGGAATCTAGTAATTTTTTGAAGCGTGGTGAGGTGAGTCGACATACTGACGAGCCCAAGGTGCAAGTGCTGCGACTGGGCTCCTCATATTCGCCGGATGCCGGGAATGGGCATCCAATACCTTTCATGCGTGTTGTTGGATTTTTTCCCGACGCATTCCCAGAAGAGATCTTTAATTTTATGACGGATCTCTACCTGCGGCGACAGTGGGATCGTAATTATCACATGTTTTGCAAGTGGGACTGCTCCACAGGGCAGAGTGCTCCAGAAACGCTGAATTCAGTCAAGAGGCCAATCGAAATGGTTGCAAAGAAGAGACCAGTGTGCCAAAATGACGTTTGTCTTTTGATTCCTGATATTAAAGAAGAAGTTGTTGACCATGGATGGTTTGCGCATCGTGTCGGCCATTCACTTCTTGACCGATTTGGAATTGCTGACCGTCTTTTTGCTTACCAGCGCCGCTCTGTTTGCTACACAAAGTTGGGCAGCGGTGCAAGCCCGCTGAAGGTATATGATATCCTCTATAGTGGAAGTGGCGAGACGGTTAAGAAAGCGACTGAGCAATCTGAACCGTTTGCCGAGTGGTTACATTTGTGTGAAAGCGAGAAGGAGGCTACTCGTGTGAGTGTAAATTATCAACATATTTTGATAATTCCTATTGCTGATGCTGCGTCTCAGCTTTGGGCTGATCCGTTGCGCCTCGCCTTTGGTGGAAGCATGGTGGATGGGAAGACCACAAAGATCGTATACGATGAGTTTATGGATAGCGTTCGCCTTTACGCGGAAACAAAGAAGCTGGATGGGACGCTCATGATTATGACTTCGGCCAACGACGTGCAAATGCCTAGCAGCGTTCCAATGTGGGCTCAACGAATGCTTGCCACTTTTTTTTCTAATTATGCGCATCGTGAAATGCTAAAAGCGATACGTTCTCACAGAAAAAAAAATTAATGCCCGATTTGATTGCATAACGCCGCCGCGAATATTATGGATTGACTGCGCGCCTACTTTTATGGGTGTTCTCTGGCTTTTATGACGTTTTTTTTTTTTTTTTTTTTTTGCTTGGTGACACGTGACGCAGCTTTCCTGTTTCACTCTCTTTCACTTCTCTGGGACGCGTGAGTTTACTGTAGGTTTTTTTTTTTTAATTTGCTCATTCACGACACATGAAGGGAGGAAGACTTCGGCGATTTGCAATTCACGTTTTGTTTGGACAGCTGGTGGCTTTTTTGAACTCCGTCACTGGAGTGTCAACGACCAAACTGGTAAATAACAATGCCAGTTATCCTCTGCTGCAATCGTTGACGGCGTACGCCTTTATTTTTACCGTTTACGCACCAATATTTCTTCTGCTTTACATTCGTAACCGGCACCGGAGGTTTTTTAATTTTGTGTTTTTACAGAAGCCTTGGAAGTACGCAGTTCTTGGCCTTATTGACATGGAAGCGAACTTTTTTATTGTCAAGGCCTTCCAATACACAGACATGATTTCAGTCCAGCTCTTGAATTGCTTCAACATTCCATGTGTTTTTGTGCTAAGCTTTTTCATTTTGAAAATGCGTTTTGCTGTCACCCACATTGTTGGTTGTCTTGTTGCCACAAGTGGCTTGGTGGTTCTCATTGTTTTGGACGCCGATGGAGTAACACGAAATAAGGTGGGGCCTAATGTTGCCAAGGGCGATTTGTTTTGCTTGCTTGCCGCTGCTCTTTACGCGACAAGTAATGTTCTTATGGAGTGGTTCATCAAGCCTCAGCCAAGAGGTGTACAGCTTGAGAGTGCGGTGTCTGCCGATACCAATCCCGAAGAGGAGGGCGTTAACAGTGAAGTTGACCGCGACATGTCGTCTTTTCGTGAGAGGCAAATTGCAGAGGAACAAAATGAATTTTCATCTTTACCGAACACCATTCATGTTGTTGAGTCAGGGCGAGAACGAGATCAGGAGCAGTCTTCCGGGCAAGTACCTGAATCTTTACCGGAAGTTGCAAATTACATACCACTTGTGGAAAATCTTTGCTGCATGTCCGGCTGTGCTCTTCTCTTCACTGTAATTCAATTTTTTGTTCTGGAGTGGAGCTCATTTGCTTCGGGCCGAAAAACATGGACGGATGAAGACTGGCTGTTCCAAATGATGTTTGGTCTATCGATGCTCTTTGTCTACACTGGCCTACCGCTTTTATTTTTAGTTGCAAGCGCGGTTTTTGCTAACGTGTCCTTGCTCTCAGTGAGTGTATACAGCATCATATGGAATGTAACCATATTTAATATTTATCCTACGCCTGTTTTCTTTGCATCATATGTGATTATTATTCTAGGCATTTTTGTGTACGATATTTCCGATTTTAGGTGGAGCTGGTGCCCTCATATAAATTACCCTTGTGATGACTCTCGCGACAGCAGTAGTGCTCCTGCGCAATCGCCGAATTCTCGTCCAGACGCCGTTGAGGGAGGCACAGCATATGAGGAGGAAATATTGCCCGATGCCGGGATTATCAATAATAGTAACCAAAAAGCCGCTGGGCTCTAAGAGCAAAAGAGGAAGAACGAAATGTTTCTATTTGATTGTTTGAGCCGTGAGGGATTTTTTCTTTATAATTTTTTTTTTGTTCCACTTCACTTATATATGTATACATGTATATATGAAAGGAAATAGAGGAATACAGACGTCCGTGAGGACTGCGTGACCGGATGGGGGGAATTTGTGGATGATGGGGCGGTTTCTTTCACCACCATGTTGTTGTTTTCTGCAAGAACTTATTTTAGTTTTCGGAGTCACCGCCTTGGAAGGTAGTGAGTGGAGTATACTTTTTTTTCCCTCTCACCTTTTTTATTACCGTTTACGCGAAGTGGGGTCCGGTGGTTGCGGAGGGCATTTGTAAAGAATGCCACTTTTTTTGGTTCACGGCGGCTTCAGTTATTTTGTCTTATTTTTTATGAATTTGTTTGTTTTACTGGTGTGTGAGTGTTGTTCTTCCAGCGGTAATTTTGTCCGGTGCTTTAAACCGAACTGTATTTTGCCGTTGGTGCACTTTCGCCTTGTGAGAATGGGGGGAAGGGGCCTTGTCCAGGCGCCTATTCCCTTTTCCCTTTTTTTCTTTTTATTCTCTCTCTCTCTCTCTGTGTGTGTGTGTGTGGCCTCCACATTTTTAATGATTTGTTGGATGACTCCTGCATGAGATTCCCAACTTTGAGGGAAAAACAAAAACAAAAATTTGTCCGTCCAGCATTTTGTGGACAGACAAGCGGTGGAACAGAAGAATGACGATTTCTTCACCCCGACTTTTTTGAAGAAGTTTTCATCTGAAATTGTGAAGAATAAAAAATAAAAGGAAAAAAAGGGAGAGAAACAAAGAAAAGAAGGAATTGGAGAAGTACAAGGAAGGAGAAAATGATCGATTTGGGTGCCTCTCAGCCGGAGGCCGTACCTTCTTTTGGAGAAATACCCGGAGAGGGATCTTCGAGGGGCGTCTCGATGGAATTTGTTGAACTTCCGCCAGGTCTGCTGTTACCCGAGGCAAATCAAAGAGACTCTGTGAATTTGGAGGATGATGATTACAGTTCGGATAGTTCCATTGGGGGCCCTTCTCAACCACCACCACCAACAGAACCACCGCCACCACAACAGCAGCATCAACAGCGGCAACAACACGAGGTGCGTCCCTTCAATCGTCGTAGGAGACCACCAAGAGCCGCCTTGAATTTTGAGGAGCGTGATATGGGTGCAAGCAGACGTATTGCGGTTCATCCTGAAATGTATCGTTATTGCAACAAGCCTCCTCAGAAGAGCGTGTGGAACCAGGCGCTTGGATTTTATCCATCGGAATATCTGCGTATAGGTATGGAGGGTATGACTTCCGTGAATCTGGAGGATTTGGTGAAGTATAGTTCTGCGGACATTCTCTCCCGAGCGTGGCCATTGCTGTCCGCTAACGCCAAAAATTTGACATTTGCCCCCTTTTCGTCCCTTCCAGAGCTTCCAGACGTACTGAATGTGCGCCATCCAGACACTGATCAAGTGGCTCGTTTTATGCGACTTACTGCTGTTGAAATTACCCGACGTAACACACTTCCTTCTCTTGTTTTCCTTCGGTCATTACTTGTACAAGCAGCTGTTAATTCGAGGGTAAAGAAGAGAGAGGATGCTTTTCTTTCCGTTCAATTGTACTCTGAAGAGTTGCTACGCCCGAACTGGGAAGATGAGTGCTCAGAAAATGCTGAAAGTATGGCTGATAACGATAACGAAGACGCTGAAGGGTGGAATTTGGGCAGCGTTGATATTCCTTTCAATGATGTCAACCACGTGGATCCTCTTGATTGGAGCATGGCTGTTCTGTATGAATCACTGAAACCTAAAATACCACTACAAGTTCTTCGTTTACTTCACAGAGTTGTGGACAGCTGTGGATTGAATTCTTCGAGTACAACACTTTATTCATGGGGACTTCAACAGTTGACACGGATGCTTCTTATTCAGACTGAAAAGGAGACCTCATCTGAGCGGGAATGCAGCAACAGTCAAGACAACTTATGGCTAAGAAGTGCAATTTCACTTTTGTTTAAGGTTGTTTTGGCTTCCAAAAAAATTGAAACACTTTTATCTCTTTTTAGGTGGGTCTATAGACATTTAAAGATTGCAGATGAATTAACATTAAACGGAATTGTTCCATGGATTACTTCCATAGAGACATTTCTGCGCCCACGAATGCGTCTTTCCTTTCCTTTCTCTTGGGTGAAATCATATATCCCTTTGGCTCATTCACTCGGGTTGGAGTTTTCCCGGAGCATTCTTGGCGTTTGTGTTATGCAGCACAATGATGAACCACACGGCATTGTATTGACAAGGAATGGAATTTACAAGATCCCTTTAAAGCCGCCATACAATGTTCTTGTTAAGAATGAAGACATCCATTTGAAGGAGTGTCACGGGGTGTTTATTGAGAAGGACAATATTGCGGTGCAGTCTGGGCGTGCTGGAGTTGTGACTTTTTATGACGCAGAAACACTGCAGGTCCGTCATGTCCTGGATGTGTGCAGCGCCCGTTCACAAGAAGAGTTTCAGGTATACTATGGAATGGGAAAATTTGTGTCACCGCATTTTTATCACGACGCCAGTTCACCTTTGTTTGCGTGTTTTGATGCATCAATGAAAATTAAAGGGACGGTAGAGCCGAGTGTTATTCAAATCGCACAGGGAACTCAGTCTCTCGGTGTTCAGTTCTTCTTGTATATTCAACCAACTTCACAAAGTACTTCTCTAGAGCTTATTAACCTCAATTTGTCAGGTAAGGACTGGCTTTCGGTACGAATCGAATTGGACGGCAGGAACTCATGCGTGTGTATTGTATTTGATTACTGTGGTGCTGTTGTTACAGAAATTCAAGAGCCAATGCAGGATGGATGGGCATTTTGGGACGCCACTTTAAATTCTTTGAACGATTTAGCCTATTGGAATGTGTGTAAGGATGGTGCGCTACTCGAAAGCAATGGAAGTGAAGATGTTATGTTTAAACTCTCTGCTCCAACAGCGGCTTCCATTCGATTTTTGGAAGGGTCATTTAGCGGGTTTATCTCCGGGTTCCAAATATGGCACCGATCTGAATCCATCAGCGATCTTATTGCTAGTGAAGCCGAAAACTTTTCCCGCGCGTCTGAGACCAGCTTTTTGTGTTCATTTAAAATGAATGAGGGCTCTGGATGCTGTTTCCGAAGTGAGAAAGGAAATCATGTTTGGAGGGGCACAGCACCATCTTGGTGCGTGCCACAGAAATCCGCACGTGGCAGATCTGTAGAGGGATCGGAGGTGATACCATATGTTCCTTCTGCCGAATATTATGTTGTGACAAATGAGTGCGAAATGGCTATAGTGGAAAATGGATTTTGCACGTGGGTAGGTGAGGACGGACGCATATTGGAGCAGCGTTTTTTGCATGTGAGACCGAGTGAATTGTATTTCCTTTGCACACATACCGGTCGAATGTATAGTATTGTTTCCGACAAGAGCGGTCTTTGTAGTCTTCGCTGGATTCAGGCACCATCGGTTCCTACTAGCTATGTAAACACTCTTCCAAGTATGAAGGATGGTGGAGCCGTATGTGAAAAAATACGTTTTTTCGCCAGGGAGAGGCGTCCGATCACACCGGTGTTACTGTCACATTACTTGCTGCACCAACTATCCACCGCCCTATTAAATGACGTTGGAAGTGGGGTGGATACTCGGCATACGGCGCAGTTGTTTAGGTGTAATGAAGTCTCTCTTCAAATGGTTTCTCGACTTGTTGATATTTGTGACGAGTTGATGACAACCATAGTTTCTTCTGATGTGAAGAATAATTTTCTCTTTCTATTGCTCTCGGCATGTGGTCGGTTACTGACGCGACAAATAAGATGGATGGGGCGAGGTTGTCCTCCGAAATTGGTTTCCACTGTGGTTAGTATGTACGAAAGAATTCATGAGCAATCGTGTGATCCCGACAGCTTTTTAGCCGAGGTTCAGAGGGTTTTTGAAAGGCTTCATCGTGTATTTCTCATTGAATGCGTAAGTCATGATTATCAGCTGCAGCGCATTATGGAGTCCAGAAGGCTCAAAGACGTCAAGGACCTGCTTGTTCCAGAGTACTTGCCTTCATTGGTGTCGAGTGTCATTGAAAAGGATCTCAAGAAACCGTTCATGACGTTTCTCAATCGCCTGAAGGAAGAGTGTCTGGCAGAGACCGAGTCTGTGCTCAGTGGTCAAAGGGCACCTTTTAGACCCTCAACGGCAACGCTGGCAACACTGCTGGGTATACTTTCACAAGAGACAAACTCCCAATGGCACTTAGTCTCTATTGCACTAGTCAACTCTTTATGTAAGGGAGTTTTACGCATTTTTAATCGTCTTTTTCCTCCGACGTTGCCTGGAAAAAAACGAACACTCGAGGAACTTGAAATGTTGAAGCAGACTTCTATTGGCATTGTTGTATTCCCCATCGCTCACTTTCTCTCCAATCTTGAGATTGATAGCAGTGTGGTTTTGGATGTACTAACATTGCTAAACGAAATCCGAGAAGCACTCGCCTCATATATTCCTTCCGTATCACCGCAACCTGTTAGTCACTGTTTCTCCGAGACTCATAGAGTATTTGCCCCAGCAGCCACAGCACACACAACTGTACTTGATTTGCGCCATGCCCGACATATTGAAGTCTCATACGAACAAGCACAAGCTGAAGAACTTCCACAAGTACACATTTCGATTGTGACAAATGAATTTAAGAGGGTATCAGAGACGTTAAATACGAATTGTGTGGCGTTTAACTCCGGAGGTAAACTAGAAATAACTTCTATACCTACAGGCCAAAATAAGGAGATGACACTCACTGTGAATGCTCAAGTGAGAATTCAGACTCAATCAACACACTGGATTCGAGATATGTGTTTCGCGTTGAGTCAAGCCATCCTCCGTATTACGCATCAACTTCTACTGACTGACTTTCCTGATTCTATTCTCCTTCCAAGGGAAAGCTTGTTTCGTGGTGGACTTTCACAGGA